TGATGCTGGATGAACCCACGAACCACCTGGATCTGAACGCCGTCATCTGGCTCAACAAGTGAGGAGAAATTAAGACTGACTCACAGATGATCAAATATACTCGGGCTGGTTTTGTTTTCGCCGTTTATGAATAGATTTAAGTCACATGCGTCAAACTCAAGGCCCGTGGGCCAAATGCTGCCCGCCAAGCCGTAAATTAAAAGATTGTTTTTGTATTTTTTTGTTTTTGTTTTTAAAGCTACCTTCAAGGATGGAAGAAAACTCTCCTGATTGTTTCCCACGACCAGAGTTTCCTTGATGAAGTTTGTACAGACATCATCCACTTGGACAATCAAAAACTCTACTACTACAGAGGAAACTACCGTGAGTATCAGCCATGTTTTTTTTCACTGCTGGAATGCTTGAATGATAACAAGCCTCCAGTCACTAGGTGGCAGCAACTCATACAGTGGTTTGTTCAGGTAAAAATGGCAGAAAACAATTGAGAACCACTGCTACAGTGCAACGTAACTTGATTTTCGTAGTAAGTCAGAACTCGCACATCTACGTAAGTACCTATGTCACTCACCTACGCTATCACTGTGTTAGCGTAGGTGAGTTATTCACTCACCTACCTATCACTGTGTTAGCATAGATGAGTTATTGCTAACTTGCTAACATCGGAACGATGATGGTGTCATTACCGTGAAAGGCCGTAGGTCGAGGGTCTCGTAACCTGAGGATTATCTGTATCTGTATTGGATTCAGTAGCAATGCCAGTGTTTGAGATAGGAAAACTTACTGTAAATATGGAGGTAATTTCAGCTTTGAAAATGAAATTGCATCATTATATCTTCAAGTGACCTTCAAGAAGATGTACGTTCAGAAGCAGAAGGAACTGCAGAAACAGTACGACAAGCAGGAAAAGAGGCTCAAAGAACTGAAAGCTGGGGGAAAGTCCACCAAACAAGCTGTGAGTACACGGTTGAAAATACTGGGTAGATCCCATTCACAGTATGAATTCTATTAGTTCTCCAATGACGGCCTTGCCTAAATGATTCTTTTCAGGAGAAGCAGACCAAAGACGTTTTGACCAGAAAGCAGCAGAAGGGCAAGAAGAAAGGAGGTCAGGAGGAGGAGAGCCAGGAGGCCACGGAGCTGCTGAAGAGGCCTAAGGAATACACCGTCAAGTTCACCTTCCCCAACCCACCTCCTCTGTCACCACCCATACTGGGGCTGCACAGTAAGGACATAGGCCGAGTGGTGCACCAGATTAGCCTTCAGCATGTCATTCATGGGATTTGTTTTGAATAATTTCCCTCACACAGGTGTCGACTTCAGCTATGACAATAAGAAGATTTTATTCAGAAACGTTGACTTTGGAATTGACATGGACTCCAGGGGTAAGTTGTCACCGATAGTTATGATATCAGAGATACCGAGATACCTGCATGTGTAAGGCAGGTACAACTTAGCACAGGCATGGGCAAACTAAGGCCTGGGGGCCGGATGTGGATCGTTCCGACTTTTAATCCGGTCCACCAAACCTTTCCAAATTATATGATTTATTTAAATGAACATTATACTTCTGCCTTATCCCTGCAATACCTATTTTCTCCAATAGATGGCGTCGAAATGGCTTAAAGCTTTTTAGCCTTTTATGACTTTTACATGTCATTTGTTTTAGTTAATACGAACGCTCCATCCATCTGCTCCTGACCTCTGGACCCCCTGTCAAATATGGCCCCCGACCCGTCAAATTATAAGGACCTATTGTGGCCTGCGAGTCAAAAAGTTTGCCCACGCCTGCTCTAACCTGCTGATTCCTATGCGATGGCCATTTTTATTTACTGTTGTTACTTTTTTTTCTTACCTCTAGTCTGTATAGTTGGACCCAATGGTGTTGGGAAGAGTACCCTGCTGTTACTCATCACCGGGAAATTACACCCGGTAAGTATTTACTAATACATTTATTAAACGTTCTCTAAAACAGCCCGTCAAAAGTAGGAGTAAGTTAATTGTTGGAAATACTAAATTTCACTTTTTTATACACTAATTTTTTTACCAGATTGTGGACTTTATTTTGGGGGAGACGGAAATTCACGTCAAGAGACACGGCTATATTTTAGAGAGAATCGAGTTGTAGATAAAATGTAATTGATAAATTCTCTGTGAACCAGTACTGATGCAGGACCTTTGCACGAAGCTCAATCTTTGAAGCATTTGTAGAGTTATAGTTGTTGATGTTTTTTTTTTTTTTTTTCATTTTCCAGACCAAAGGAGAGATGAGGAAAAATCATCGTCTGGTGAGTAAATCTCAACTATAATGCTAAATATTAGCAACATTTAGATTGTATAAATATATATTTATTATCATATCTATTTTGTTGCAAATGTGTATTAGAAACACGGACTTCAACAGATGCTAAGAGTACTTTTTTAGTTTTGAAACAGTAACATAAATTATCTTATTAAGCCTGGTATGTAAATATATTGTTTTTTAATAGATATTTCTTCTGATTTTATACCATAATACTTCGGATATAGTTTTAATAAAGTTAAAACACTGTGTCTATTGCTGTACAGTACATGACCTATTTCTGCAAAAGGTTTATTTTTTTTCCATCGATGGTCCTAAAATTGGCCACTGGGTGTCACTGTCAGCCTTTTTTTTTAATTAAAAATGTAGTTAAATTAAAATGTGAGGCCATAGCTTGTGAAAAAAAAATAATAACAATATTGAGTATACTAAGGTGACAAATCACGTTAATGCGTTGTTTTGTTTTTTTTTCACTGATCATAAGTCCTGCTACCTACCTTCTAAATCTGACCACAATTCCATATCTGCTTACAGAAAGTGGGCTTCTTCAACCAGCAATACGCCGATCAGCTAAACATGGACGAGGCGGCGACAGAGTACCTGATGAGGAACTTTAACCTCCCCTACCAGGACAGCAGGAAGTGCCTCGGTCGATTCGGCCTGGAAAGCCACGCCCACACCATCCAGATTTCCAAACTCTCTGGTACGACCGCATATCCGTATGACTGTAGATGGCAGTTTTGTGGAGGGGAAAAAAAAAATTCTTACAATGAAAAAAAAAAAAAAAATCTTACAATGAAGACTGTTGCTCTCTTTCTCTGTCTCTCAGGTGGTCAGAAAGCCAGGGTAGTGTTCGCCGAGCTGTCGTGTCGACAGCCCGATGTGCTCATCCTGGTTAGTCAAGTTAAATTATACCTTCATTCATAATGAACACAAGAGGATTCTGTAACCAACGACTGTTTCCTTTGATAGGACGAGCCCACCAACAACTTGGACATCGAGTCTATTGACGCGTTAGCAGAGGCCATCAATGAATACAAAGGAGGTAAGGAGAGCGATAGGTGCGTTTGGGGAGATGAACTTCCCCGGAGCTAATCGTATTATTTTTAGGTTGTAGTCTTACGAAGTACTAACAGGTTGTCGAAAATGACGTGTCGTCAACCGTACGAGGTGACGGCGCACTCTTTCTAAATATGAGGCTGTCAACAATGATATCAGTACAACCTTTTTTCTACACAAATAAAGCAAAAAGGTGTAATTTGTCTTCCTAAAAATATAATCCATTACACCTTAACATTAACAGTCTTTTTTTTTTTATCCTTACACCTTAACATTAACAGTCTTTTTTTTATCCTATAAACTTTTTCCTAATGATGCGCCTTGAAGAGACAAACGACTGACTTAAAGTCAATTCTGACATTGAAGAAATATAAATCTATTGTCTTAAAATAGTCTCCCTTTGTCAATAAGAAATGAAGACTAAGTTTGTTTATCTTGGGATAAACCAGTAATTCTCAAATAGTGGGGCGGGCCCCTCCTGGAGGACACAGTGAGGTGCCAGGAGGGGGTGTGTGGAGCTTCCAATGGAATATAGGAGGCATATGGACATAAGTGTACCACTGCTGTAATGCAAGTCTGCAGTCACTAGGTGGCAGCAACTCATACAGTTAGTATAGTATATAGTATTTTAATTCGTAGGGTGTGGGTCTGGAGGTTGGGGGGCGTGAAAACATTTCCGTCCCCAAAGGGGGGGGGCATGAGAAAATAATTTAGGACACTGGGTTAAACCAAAGTTTACAATTTTAGACTTTGAGTTGAGGGTTTCACATTTTAAATAATCACATAAGGTACATCACTAACACTTGTTTTCCTATATCGGGGTGCCCAACCCCTGGTCTGGGGGCCAGTGCCGGTCCATAAGTCATTTGGTAGCGGGCCGCAGTGGGTAAAAAATATATACTTCAGTTTTACTAATTGACTTCATTCAAAAAGAATCCAGTCGTATCCCTTTACTTTAGGGCAGTGGTGGCTTGGTGGTTAAGAACGTGGACTCAGGTCCGGAAGGTTTAAGGTTCAAGTCCACTATCTGCCCTGCTCACTTTGGTGATGGGTAAAACCCAGAGGTCAC